GAAAATAGGCTTATTTAAAGATATCTCAAACAAATTACTGAGTGAATCTCGGAGTGAATAGAAGAATTTTCAGGGAGTGCCAAATTTTTATATTTATTACAACACGAAACCCGGCAACTAAGGACATCTGAATTGATCTGAACAAGATGATTCACCAACAACCGTACTATTTGCGTTCATTCCTTTTCGTATTTCTGTTGTCGCCCTACGCTTTTTTTTTCGAGAACGAGGCTAAATGAGCCCTTAGGAATCCCACCGACTTCGGTCTTTTTTTATGAACAGAGTAGACGACGTAAGTAGCGAGAGCAAATGGAAGTGGACGGCGGAGTGACCATTTATGAAGGTGGAGCTTAGAGTTATTCGCAGTACTTCTCCAAGAGTACTTGTCATGGAAAATTGGATCTGCCTGATTTTTTCAAGGGAGAAGGGTTTAGTGGATGACGAGCTCGCTCGCGACGCGATTTCAGGTGCGGACGATACAAATCATCTGGTAATTAAGATCTGTTTGCGGAACAGCAGGATATATTGAGTAAAATCCCCTTAAGAACAGGTGCATTCTCAGGAGAATTTGAAAAGTCACAAAAGTAACTAACTTTTCTTTTTCACGGAGCGTATAACCCTTTTCTTCTTGCGCTTTCGCTTTGGTCTTCCTGAAACATAGCCTTTGACAATGGTCATAACAATGCTCCCCTAAAATGAGTTCTTCCATTCAATTGCCGGACTAACCGCCAATTACTGGAGTTCGATTGTTTTCGTACACACTCCGTCGCCGACGTATTCGCTTAGGCATTGTGTAGCGGTCAACATCTGCTGGAGCTCTGTCAAAGCATTGTTGTAGAAAAAATGATTACAAAGTTAAGGCCTAGGCTACAGTACTCTACACATCCAGCACTTTTTGTAACCAGTTTATACAACAAAAACCGCAATGTAGCGAGCCTTATTATCTATAGAAACACTAGGCATCAATTACAAAAACACTTTGAAAGCTGAATTCCCATGATGGCTCTCAGAGGGATTTCCCAGTTCTCTTGGGGCTCTCAGAGGACCGTACCCCTATTCTCCTTATCTTCTGTTAGTCCTATAACGAGGCCACAAGTTGTGCAAAAAGAAAAGGGCTTTTGTATATCAGAATGTTTCCCGATATTTCCGAGCGTTTCCCTCACCTCATGCTGAATACGTCCATCGGCAGTGGCTGCTGTCGTATTACTTCGAAGTCGTCATCGTAATCTAAAAAACGAAATCCATACAGTTTTAAGAATGAAAGTGACTTTCTGGGATGTATGTATAGAATAGGACACTACCTTCGTAGTGGGCTCCTCTCAGAGTAGCTGCGCTTCTCCTCCTTTCCAGCTCTTCCAAATTAAATGAACCTTCCCTGCTTGGTATTGGTGTCCATTGATCTGGCGCAGTAAATACAGCTGAACATCAAATCCTAGAAAAAAAAAGACTCCTACCTCCACAAACCTTTCCTTCACCGCAGAGCAAATCGTCGAAAGAACCTCCCCAACTGCTCAGTGGTGACACTATAAAAGCAGAAATCAGGAATTTAAGATTAATATAATAGTATTTATTTAGAGCGTGTTCCCCCATGTTTTGACACCTTCATGTCCTTTTGACTTGTTCAAAATCTGATACCTGCTTAACAATTCATTTCACCTATAAGATCGCATTCCTTGCATGAATCCTTTCAAGTTGTTCAGAATCAGTGAATCAAAAATCTACTCTGACCTACAGCTGGAGCACTTCCTTATTCCCATAAATCAGCAAACTCAGAGAAATTTTTAGGAAAAAACTTAAGTCTCTAGGATGGTTTAACTTTTCTCCCCCTTTCCTAATGACATGATGAAGTTGGGTTTTTATGAGGCAATGTTCAATAAATGATAAGAACAATAAGAACTCACTCGCTTTATCTTCTCTAGAAGGTTTGCTTCCCATTTGGTGTGGGGTCAAAGATGCAGCTTGAAAATGGACACTGTTCAGACCTCAGGGATTCCCTTAGTGGCGGTCTCTACACTTCGTGGACAACACCATAGCAACATGCATCAAAAATTGGTTCTGCGACAAAGAATGTGGCACATCTCAGTTCGAGCTGCTCTATGTGTATTCCTCAGGACCCATGCGATATAAGTCAAGCCTGAAGGTATACTGGATCCATGTCAAGAGAAAGCATTTCCATAGGGAGGAGATGATTTGGAAGACCGATATTAGGTTCAAATACGGGAAATTGCAATAACCTGTTTGGTTTCTCCTGTTTTACGTTTTTTTCTCAACTTTAAATTATTCTCAGAAACAAATACACTGGTAAATTCCTTGCAGGATGCTCTCAACAGTCGCCTTCCTTCAGAACCGTGGCGGAATTTTGTTTGCGTATGTGGCCTATACAATAACATGCGGTGGTCAACCGATGTACGTGCTTTTATCCTCTCATACGAATCGTAGAGCTTTTAACCGACCCCACATGGATGGAAGGATTGGTTGGCCTAGGCGGGTAGCGAGCCGCGATACCCCTGTGTGGCGCAGTAGGACCGAAATTGTCGTGTAGCGGCGAGAGTGACGCCGCGCGCGAATGAGTGTAGCGAATGCAGCGCAAGTAAGAAAGACAGGAACAAAGGAACTAATAGTAGAATCATGATAAGTAATAATCGCAAAGCGAGTGAGCTGTATGAAGAACGCTAAACTGTTATAACGAGGCGAATGGTCCGCGACAGCCGCGTGCGACGGATTGATTACACAAAACCATTCCTACTGCCCGTGTCCCGATCCCCGCACTGTGCGTATGATAGTACGCTACATGCCACTATACCATCACTCGTAAATTACAATATACACGTTCCGTAAGAAGGGCAGGGGTGCGCTTCGTTGCGCGCGTCCGTCGAAACTAGGTCGCGCCGCAGCCGTCGCGTGCGACGCGTCAGCCCGCGATCTTTGAAAAACGTCGCAGTTGCCTGTGGGTCATACGATTTGCGCATGGTCCACAGCAGTCAGCCAAAGAGAAGATATCACGGGCAAATGCAAATCATTCGCTCCACTGACACGTGGTGGTACTGTAATGTCAGGCCAAGACCTCAGTTGGGAAGCGCCGCGCGCGAAGTAGGCGGGGTGACCTACTTTCGAAGAACGCGCGCAACGGACGTTCTCCGAAGGGCAGAGAGCAAACACAAAGCATACTCAGAAGCATTTATTATTAGACTCGACGAATAAAGCAAACCTGTAGTAAACGACATTCAACGTGAAAATGCGCTCAACATAGATCTATGTATATTCAAAAATATATTAACATTTTGAAGCTCTCAGGCATAACAATTAATTAAAGGTTTAACTACAAATTAATGTGCGTATTAATGTGTTTGCCTAGCGATCAATAAACACCCTTTTATGGCAAAAAGAGAAAGGCCCTAACGAATGGCTATTGAAGCATGGAAATGACAATATCACAAACAATATACAGGCATATAGTAACAGCATTTAAAGAAGTGTGTAAGTATCACAAATATCAATGAGCATCAGTGAATGAGAAGTTGATGATTAGCAATCTGAAAGAACAGCTCGGAAATCAGGTAACTGAACGCGATGTCGGTTTTCAAATAGTGACAGGAAATTTGTACAATTCGTCGCCAGCTCTTTAGCAATACGGACGACTTCACGGCGATAGACGTGGTATGACTGAAAAGAAATGAATGATAAAAATAAACGATAGTCTTTGGGCTTAATTAATCCCGTCCTAGGGATGCACCCCCACATTCGACTCTCAATCAAAATCGTAGGCGTACTGGATCCGTATGTGGCCTATGCAATGACTTGCCATTGCCAGCCGATGTACAAGTCAGTAATTTTAATCCTCGCAAGAGAGCCTAAAACCAACTAGTTGATCCCGGAGGGACGAAAGACTTGATTTACATGGGCGGATATCGGTCCGGGATTCGAACCCGCGCCCATGTATGTGTGATAGTGCGCCTTTTGCCACAACACCATCTCCGCCCGACTAAAATCACAGTGATAACTGAAATCTCCCTCAGGAGCATCGTACTGGGTGATTGGAGTTTATAAACTGTACACACCCGTGAATTTGTGAAAAGGCCAAGCTGCATTATATTCGGCAGATCGATGAAGTCCACCGATATACAGGATATGGTTCAGCTCACCCATTTTACATAGCTATTCCTCCAAGACCCTTCTCATGAGTCATGAACTCCAGCCACGAGTTACAGCTATGGATTTCAGTTCGAAACAGAACAAACTAGAACAGCACTGTCACACGCATGGCCACTGGTTCGAATCCCGGACGCTCGCCTAAGCCAACCAAGCCTTACATCCTTCCGGAGTCGGTTAAATGATAAAAGACCCGTCTGGGAGTATAAAAGCACAGACTTGTACATCAGCAGGCCGCCGCAAGTCATTGTATAGGCTTACACCACTACGGTTCTGAATAGAAGTCGAATGCGGAGGCGCATCCCAAATACTGAACTGACTAACGACAAAAAATTTGTTCTTTTTATTTCTGATTTACTACGATTAGAAAACCATAATAATAACGAAACATTGACATAATTAACTTACTGGATTATTTATATTATCGACAACCTGCTGGACTACTTTGCCCATCTGCCTCATGTCGTTTCCTATCAATGACTCCGTAAGTTCTACCTGAAATGTAAAACTAAAAATAAAAATATAGCAATAGTCATCACGGCAATAAATAGTCAGAAATAACTTGAAAGTGTGATTAAAAAAATCAGAACAGTACCATCGCTTAACCTTACCTCTTTCCGCTTCTCGTCAGGCATACGGCTAAGGATATCCGTTGACTCCGCAAACATTTCTCGTAACCTCGATGTTATATCCTAAAACGACTCGCATATACAGATCTTCGAGAGTTTCATATGAAAGCTGTGACCCAAGAGCTAATACTTATTCTCGCCAAAATAGAACAACTTCTCAAAAAACTACACGAAAACGCAATTCTTGTTAATGGCTTTTGGTTTTGCTAACCTTTGTGAACCCTAAACTAAGCTGCTCGCTAAATAATCAGAACCCCGACTCACTCTAATGCTGGAAACGAAATCATCATGTTTCATATTGGTATTGAAAGCATTAGCCAATCGATCTACTGATTCATTTATCGATGAAACTGCTCGAGAGATCGAAGTCAGAGACGGTGAAACGTTCTGAAGCAACTAAATCGGAAAGGTTAAAGATGGAAGATCTCCGAATTGCAGGAAGCAATAAAGCACAAAACGAACCCCATCAACTAGATTTCCATCGAGGGACCCATTGGAATATGCTTTACTTGTACTGGGCTCAAAACCGTTATGAATACGATTCGGCTCGTCAGATGGATCGTAAGAAGCCTGGAAAAGGAATTCAGAGTCCACAACATACATTAACAATCAGAACAATGTCAACCGACCAAATCTTCTTGTTCCTCCAGCCATTTATCATCTTCCTCTCCCTGTCGTTTCTGTTCTTCCAAAGTCCTCCATAACGTTAAATTAGGTAAAGTCGATATATTAGTCAAAAGGACGGGAACGGTCTGGAGACGAAGATTTTTTAAGTGGTAATCACTGACTGTACGGAAATGTATTACCTGTGGCGGCCGATTCAAATGCAACTCTTCAGGTGGTACATGTTTCTTCAACTGATCATGCAAGGACTCCATAACCTGAAAGCTCATTTTTATGCCCGAAATTATTTTAGCAGCCAATAACACCGAAATTGAGCGCTTGAAACTTCGTTCCAAAAATTCTCGCTAAATTCTTACCACCACAATTTCCTTTGCAGTCGGCCGCTTTTGGGGTTGTAAAGCCCAGACCATCAATTCGAGGTAGTTGAACACAACAGCTGGACATCCGTCTGGACAAGGAAGACGTCCACCTGCTTCTACTCGGGTGATCACATCCGCATTTGCTACGCCTTGCCATGGTTTTGCACCCCATGACAAAATTTCCCATACACAAACACCTTAAAAGTTATAAACATCAGACAAACACGACAACATCAAAAAATGTCAGACAAGCAATCAGAGAAATAGATTTCTCACAGGGGACTTTTAATAATCTGGCTTGACTTACCGTACATCCATATATCAGATGCCATGCTGAACTCTCTGTAGTTTATCGATTCAGGTGCCAGCCACTTTATTGGAAGCTTACCACGAGAGGCTGTAAATAACGGCAGGTAACATCAGGTCCAGAAGATATGAGATATGAGAACTCAGTAAACATAAAAATGAAACATAGTAAGAAAATGCAATGAAAATCCAAATAGTGCTTTGGATTGTGTCCCACAGCAGGAAGAAAGCAGAAAAGAAATAGAGAGTAGAGCATGATTGAAACTTTCCGGTGAAGAGCAACCTTGCCAACCTAGTAGATCGGGTGTGGTGCGTTAGGAACGAAATCGGCGCGTCGCGGTGAGAGGAGCGTCGCGCGCGAAGGAATGTAGCAGGGTGCAGCAGTAGGTAAGAAATACAAGAACAAAAGTACTAATAGTAGAATTATGCATAAAATAATGATCGCATATCGATTGAGCTGTATGAAGAACGTTAAAGCTGTAATAACGGCGAATGAGTGGTCCGCGACAGCCGCGTGCGGCGAATCGATTACCCAAAATCGTTCCTAACGCCCGTCTCCCAAGTAGATCCCTTCTTCACTTAACAACATAGTCTTCAAATAAGATGATTTCCTTTTGAGATTGCGACCTACAAACCTACAACTTGAAAAGGAAAGCAGAACCCCTCTTTCACCGTAAGGACTACTTGGCTGGATGTGTTCGCGACTATAGGAGTATTTACAAACATCTGATTTACCTGTATAGACAGCATCATAATCAAGAGCCCGACTCAAACCAAAATCGGTCAGCTTCACACATTTCGGGGTGGATACCAATACATTTCTTGCTGCGATATCCCTATGTACCAACGATCTTTCGTGCAAATAAGAAAGTGCACGTGCAACTTGAAGTGAGTAAAGGAAGAGTGACGTCAATGACAGTGAGGCCCGATTGGAATGTAAGTATTGCCGTAGCTGAAAATAAGCAGTCAAAATAAAAAATATGAGAACAAAAAAAAAACAGAAGCAGCTTAGAGTTTCTTCACTATGTGCAACACAACCTGATGCAGAAATTCTGAAGGATTTAAAGAAAATGGCATTAAAGCTATTTGAGATCTACAAATTAAACCAATCAGTGATATCCTTACGGCAGTGTTGCTCCGCCAAAAAGAAAATTAAGGCTTCTAAAACTCATTGTGCAGCTATAAAAGTCTGACTTGAGAATACTTTGCATAAAATAAGTTGGTGCAGACAACCGAGGATTGGTTAACGAGTGCCCC